CATGCTGGAGGAAGCATGTCACTGGGGGTGGGCTTAGAGAGTTCTTAAGACTTGCCAGATCTCAAGTCACTCTCTTGTTTCCTGTGCCAGTTTGAAGATTTAAGAGCTTAGCTTCTGCTCTTCCTCCAGCCACCTCTGCCCCCATGCCTCCCCACCATGATGGACTCCTGCCCCTGGGAACCATAAGCTCAAATAAACTCTTCCTTCTGTAAGTTGCTTTGGTCAGTGTTTCTAGCACAGCAACAGAAAAGTAACTAATACACCCAATAAAAACTCATTGGTTCACCAAGATGGACTTCGGTGCCTGTGTTACTTTGGTTACTTTGGGCTGTCCTAGGTTCCAGCTCTGAGGTATGTTGGAAAAATTAACAAATAAAGGTGTCCCATGATTCCAAGTCTGGCAAGAGCATTCAATTTAAGTATTGAAGGAATGGGGCAGGGAACAAGAGGTCTATGTACGCATGTACACCTAAATCAAGCTTAGATGTCCTGATCGTCTCAGTTCTGGTCATGCAAGGTGGGTCTGCAGAAATCCTTTCTTTATGAGATGAGCTTGTTCTCAGAAGATGATTACTCATGCTCTAGGGTGCATATAGCCTCATCCTCATAGATAATTGTCCTCATCTGGGGGTCAATGGTCTGTCTTTTGAGGCTCTATTGTTCTTAGGATCCAAAGTGACTACAGTGTAAGGACAATGACTAGAAATTGTTAGGCAGATTTATGGGTCTGGAATGGGCCACTATAAAAAGCTGACAGTAAAACGCTTCAGCCTTGTATTAGTCAGGGTTCTCCAAAGAAACAGAACCGGTAGGATGAATATACATGTATAGAGATAGAGTCTGAGTAGTCCAACAATAGCTGCACCACACTAGAGAGGCTGAGAATCCATAGTCTCTCAGTCCACGAGGTTGGAAGCCTCAGTAGTCCCAATCTGGCACTGAAGGTCTGACGAATTCCCAAAGATCAGCTAGTCTTCAGTCTACAGCAGCAAGACAAACTCACTAGCAAGAGAGAAGGCAAGCAGCAAGAAGCCAGGAGTTCTCCTCTGCCATGGCCTTTTTATATGGGCTGCCATCAGAAGGTAACACCCACATTTAGGGTGTGTCTTCCAGCTTCAGATGACCCAATCAAGAAGATCTCTCTCATTTCAGTTAATCCCAGATCCAGTCAAGTTGACACCTAGCTAACACATGCTGCAAGTCTGCAGTGCTCAGCCTTCATGGCTTCTGGAGAGGAACATGTGGGACTGAAGGGATGGCATGTTAATAAGTGGGTTTTGCCGGGCGTGGTGGCACACGCCTATAGTCCCAGCACTTGGGAGGCAGAGGCAGGCGGATCTCTATGAGTTCAAGGCCAGCCTGGTCTACATAGTGAGTTCCAGGATAGCTGGGGCTACAGGGAGACCCTGTCTCAAAAAGACCAAAAAAAAAAAAGTGGGTTTTATAGTTATTCCCAAGCTGATACTTATTATTTTTGTTTTTGTTTTTTTTAGTCAGAGTTTTTCCCTTTAAAAAATATTCTATTTATTTTATGTGTATGAATGTATTGTCTGCATGTATGTAAGTGTACCTGTGTCATGCAGTGCCTGTGGAGGTCAGAAAAGGATGTTGGATTCCCTGGAACTGGAGTTACAGATGGTTGTTGCCATGTGGGTGCTGGGTCCTCTGCAAGAACAGCCAGTGTTCTTAACCACTGAGCCAACTCTCCAACCCCTGATGAATATTTTTTTAAAAGTTTTATTATTTTATGTGTATGAGTGTATTGCCTACACGTAAGTGCACCCGTGTCATGCAGTGCCCAAGGAGGTCAGAAGAGGGTGTCTGATCCCCTGGAACTGATGTTATCAACAGTTGTTAGTGGCCATGTGGGTGCTGGGAATTGAACCTGGGTCCTCTGTAAGAGCAATCCGTGCGCTTAACCTCTGAGCCATCCTTCCAGCCCCCCAATGAATATTTTAAAGCTGACTGTCTAGAACTCTGTTCTTGATTCCCGGCTTCTTCCTGAAAATGATGACTGTACAACCCTGGAGGTGGGCTGTGGAGGAACTTTGTCTAACAGATCCTGGCCTGCTTGTTAAGTGACCCTATGGGACATTTCTGTCAGTGTCAGAACATACTGACATCGTTGGTTCCCCATTGGGCCTCCTTTCTCTTCAGCTAACTGGCACCTTTGACAAGGACACTTGGATAAGTGAATGAGGAAGTGAGGAAATTAAGGGCAGCTGTGGATAAGATGGATGCATTTCCTAAGAATTGGCTCACACTGTTGCACACAGTTCAGTGGCCTTCTGATTCCATGTGGCCAGTTGGCTCACTAGAGAAGGCTAATTGAGGTGCCTGGTAGGGAGCCACACTTTCCACACTTTGCACAGGGAAGCTCTATCCTGAGGCCTGGGATCAGAAGCACATTTGTGGTAGTGAATACCATACAAGAGTCATCCCACCTAAAAGAATCTATGTGTATATGGAGTATGAAAGCTGGTATGGGGGCTGGAGAGATGGCTCAGCAGTTAAGAACACTGGCTGTTCTTGCAGAAGACCCGGGTTCGAATCCCAGCACCCACATGACAGCTAACAACTGTCTGTAACTCCAGTCCCAGGGGATCCGACAGCCTCTTCTGACCTCCACGGGCATTGCACGACATGGATGCACTTACCTACATGCAGGCAATACACAAACACACATAAAATAAAAATAAGTAAAATATTAAAAAGCCGGTATGATTTTTCTTTAAAAAATTTTTTTGTCATATAAATATTTAGGGATCAAAAATGATAAAGGTCATCATTTAAGTTCCCTGAAGCAGGTTTCTGAAGGAGGATCAGGTGACTGCCACTACATGTAGTACTGGCCAGGTCTCAGGGGATTCCTGAGGCCTGAGGCTTTACTAGTTTTAGTAAAACTGCTAATTTTAGTGTCTATATAAAGTAGAAGGAAATGAGCTACCATGCCAAACAGATCGTGAGGCCGGGAAGCACTTGCTGTGTTCACAGCTGAGTTCTGCAGTAGTAGGACTTATATAAGTTAGAGAGAGAACTGCAGCAAGTCCCCTAGCTCTCCTAATTGGTCCCTAGTTGATTTGATTTGTCTCTTCCAGGAAGAGTTTGCTGAAGAGAAGGGTCATGGACTTGGTCACCCAGACGGCCATCCTACCCCTGCTGTTTGGCTGCCTGGGCATCTTTGGCCTCTTCCGGCTACTACAGAGGATTCGCACAAAGGCCTACGTGAGGAATGCTGTGGTGGTGATCACTGGTGCCACCTCAGGGCTTGGCAGAGGTGAGTCATGGGGCCTGTAATAATCTGAAGTGGGATCAGCGGGCTGCAGGAATCACAGAACAGCAAAAATGATTCCATTGTTTTTTTAAAAATATTTTATTTATTATTTTTATTTTATGTGTATGTGTGTTGGCTGTATGTATGTGAGTGTACCTGTGTCATGCAATGCCATGGAGGTCAGAAGAGGTCTTCTGATTCCCCTGAAACTGGAGTTAAGGATGGCTCGTAACCACCATGTGGGTGCTAGGAATTGAACTCAGGTCCACAGCAAGAGCAATCAGTGCTCTTAACTGCTGAGCCATCTCTCCAGCCCCGGATTCCATTGTTTTCAGTCCAATTGGAAAAGAAGGGCCTTGAGAGCAATGAAAAAGGGACCCAGTCTCAGTGTGGAGAGGCAAAAGCAAGAGAGGAGGCTGCCTCTCCTCAGGAAGCTGTGGCCTTATTCAGCTCAGCTGTTTGTTCAAAGAGGGATTTCGATAGGATATCTGATTTTCAAACATGGACAATGTTGTTACCTTTTCCTGCTTTCAGTTGGAAACCTGGCCTTGGGTTGTGGGCTTGGTGTGTACCAGGGACTTGGCAGGGTTGGAGACCAGATCCGTGAGGCTTCTGCTCTTCCTTAGCCAGAGTTTCTGGTTTAATCCCATTCCCCTTCAATGGCGAGCTTCTGAGGCTCAGGGAAAATGTGCTGGTACACAAACCTTGGCTTCTCCTGTTCTGGAGCTCAGGCAAGGACTCTGGCAGCGCAAGTGAAGGGTTATAACAGACCTGCTGCATAGGCCCCCTGCCCTCTGTCCTCAGCTTCTGCCCAGCATTTGGTACCAGCCCCATCCCTTTCCAGTGGGGTTCCAGGGAAGATAGTGAAGACATGTTCTGGAACTGAGTGGAACCTCCTAATGCTGCATGACTTGGTTGGTTGGGAGCACAGACAGTACCTACTGAATATCTTCAAAGTGTGAGGCTCTTGGCCAAATGCTGTACAGAAAATGGACCCCTGAGGGTCCTTATCTTCAGGGGAAGCCTTCACTGCTGTGCTGAGAACTATGACCAGGTAAAGCCAGACTCTCAGGGACAGGTTGAAACAGCTGTTGTACTGGAGGCCCCTGCCCCTCGTTAAGATGAGTCTGTGAACAAAGCACCGAAACCCCCTTCAGAAGTGTAATATAGCATGCCTGAAAACATATGCAGTATGAGTATGCTTAGCACCTCCTTCTAGAAAGCTGTGTGAAGGGTGCTGGCCTGAATGTGGTTAGGGAATGCTGTGCAAGGAACTGAAGGTGTAGCCACGGGGCATAGATGACAGTACATTTGTACCATGAGATGGTTAGGTGGCACAACACCTCTCTCCTTCCTGAAGGACACTGGAGCTTCTTTTCCCTTCCTGTTTGATACTTATGAGGGAAGGGCTGTTCATACCAGTACATACTCCTTAGACTTTTTTTTTTTTTTTTTTTTGGTCTTTTTGAGACAGGATCTCCCTGTAGCTGCAGCTGGCCTTGAACTCACAGAGATCTGCCTGCTTCTGTCTCCTGAGTGCTGGGATTAAAGGCATGCGCCACTCCTTAGACTTTTGACCCTGCCCCTTCCCAGGTAAACACATGACAGCTCCAATCCCTTACCAACCCTTATGATTTTCAGAGGATGAATTGCTCTCAAGGCAAGCCTGTCTTCCATGAGCCAGGCGGGGACTAAGAAGCCATTTAATCACCTGGGTCTCTAAGATTGGTCTGTGGTTAGCCAGAGGCCCAGGTGTCCTGAGCACATCTGTGAGCATTTGTAGGAGACAAGATCTCAGGAGGACCAGCAGTGTCCCAGTTTATACCTATACCAATTTTCTAGTTTGTAGAACATTTTTAAAGGACTTGACAAACAAGGTAGCACATGCCTATAATCCCAGCACTTGGGAGGCAGAGGCTAGAGGAGCAAGAGTTCAAAGCCATCAATTACACTGTGAGTTGTTTGAGGACAGACTGGGCTACATGAGACTCTCTCAAAAAACAAACAAAAAGAAAGTAAAAAATATTAAAGTATTAAAAATAGGTGCTAAAAATAGTTCATAGAGATTCTTTGCCTACCCAGCACCATCAGAAGTTTTTACCTACTTTAACTTACTCAACCTCAGTCCCCTCTGAATTACATAGTATTATCTGCATCTTATAGAATGGGAAAGAGAAAAATAGATTGTAACTTAGCTGAGATCAGAGAACCAGTAAACAAAGGAAGTCCAGAGTTGTACATGAGACCTAGTTTAAGGACATTCTCTGGAGCACAGGGGAAAGGTTAAATAAGCAAGAGATATCACACTCTTTTCCCTCATTTAATTTGATGACTGAACCCCTCCAGCCCAGCAAAGGGCTTCTGCCCAGTATTACCCACCATGGCCTCTCAAGTGCTTTGTGTACCGTTAACTTCTGTTCCAGCATTTCCTGGTAGCTGGTTCTTTGGGTCCAGGACTACTGGAGGCCTCCAGCTTCTCTCTACTTTGACTTTCCAAAGAACTGTGCCAGTATATCTGTGCCAATTGCATTAGTGGCCTGGGGAGAGCCTAGATGGTGCTGAGATACAGCCTCTAGGGACCACAGCACCATGGGATTCAGTACTATTTGTGGAAGTAAATTGAGTTCATTGGACAGGTTCCCTGCCTGCTGATCAGGAAGTGTGCTTAGCCTTGCTGGGCTTCTTTAGCCTTGAAAGTGGGCTAATGCCCACAGGGTTGTTTGGGGTTAAATAAGAACAGCATGGAAAGTTCTGAGCATAGTACTCACCAACCTGTCCACCTTTCTTGCCTTTCTCTGCCTTATGAATGCATGTTACAGGTCTGGAAAGGAACCCTACAAATGGGCCTTAACTCGAGCATCACAATAGTCCAAAGTACCAGACTATGCATATACATGTGTCAGATGTGTGAGAAGCAGGCATTGTGCAGCACTGGGTGACTTTGAACTGAATCCTGTTGAAAAAATGGCACTGAATGGTCTTAACTGTCAAGGTTCTTTTCTGTTCTCTTAGAATGTGCTAGAGTTTTCCATGCTGCAGGTGCTAAGCTGGTGCTTTGTGGCCGAAATGTGAAAGCCCTTGATGAGCTCACCAAAGAACTTGCTGTTTCTTATGCCTCCCAGGTGAGCCACGGGAAAGGGTTCTGTGGAAGGAATTGTAGAGTCTGCCTTCCATGGGTCATAGTGATGTTCTCAAGGACTGCTGAGCTACAGGGCATTCATGTGGTCCATGGTACCAGGGAAAGCAACTGGGCTCCAAGCAGTGTGGAAAACTCCCTCAGTTCATACCCCTGCACAAAGGAAGTTCCCTCTGTGGAAATTCACTCCTCCCATTCCTTGTGCCTAGGTAACCTGTAATCATCTAGTGAGGGGTGGGATGATGACATCATCTAGTGCGGTGATGATGACTTTAAAATTTTCAGTTGTCTTAAAATATTCATAATACTAATAATTTTCAATAGCTTTTATTTATTTCTTGAGAATTTCATATATGCATACAATACAATATATTTCAATCATATTTACCCCCACTCCTCCCCTTCAACTCCTCCTGGATACCCCTACAACCTTTCTCAATTTCACATCTTTTTTTTTCACTAATAATGCACCAAGTCCAGTGTGTGCTGCCTATATACTCATAGGTATGTGCAGCCTACCAGGGAAATGGACCCTAAAGAAAATGGACTCTCCTTCGTAGTAGCCATTACATTAATAGCTCCTTAGCTAAGTGTATTTGTAAGTCAGTGGTAAATACATTTATGTGTATTGACAGGGTGTGTAACTGTCACTACTATCTATACCCAGAACAATTTTTTTTTTTTTGATACAGGGTCTCCTCTGTAGGCCTAGGCTGGTCTCAAACTCAGGATCCTCTTGCCTCAGCCTCCTGAGCACTGAGATTACAGGCATGTGGCATCGTGTCTAGCCCTAAAACCTTAAATGTCCCCAATAACATTCTGCATACTTAAGCCATAACTCCTCCTCCCCTCAAGCTTCCAGAAACTGCCTTCTCCCTTCTGCCTTTGAATTTATTTATTCTTGGGACCTCACGTGGGAAACTAGAAAGTGTTTTCCCTTCCAAGTCTGTGTTATTTTCTTTTAAATATTTTATTTATTATTTTTATGTTATGTGTATGAGTGTATTGCCTGCATGTATGTAGGTGCACCCATGTCATGCAGTGTCTAAAGAGGTCAGAAGAGGGTGTCAGATCCCCTGGAACTGGAGTTAATGGTTGTTAGCTGCCATGTGGGTCCTGGGGATTGAACCCAGGTCCTCTGCAAGAGCAGCCAGTGCTCTTAACTGCTGAGCTATTTCTCCAGTCACTTAATGTAACACCTTTGAGGTTTATTCACATATGGTATAGCAGTTTCTTCCTTTTTTTAAAAAAAGTATTCTTTTTTATTTATTTTATTTTATTTTTTGGTCTTTTTGAGACAGAGTTTCCCTGTAGCCCCAGCTGACCTGGAACTTGCTATGTAGACCAGGCTGGCCTCGAACTCACAGAGATCCACCTGCTTCTGCCTCCCAAGTGCTGGGATTAAAGGCGTGCTCCACCACACCTGGCAAAATATTCTTTTTTAAAAAAATTTTTATTTATTATTTTTATGTATTCTGTAAGAACAACCAGTGTTCTTAAATGTTGAGCTATCCCTCCAGCCCAGTTTCTTCCTTTTTAAGGCTGGATGAGATTACATTGCATGTACAGACTACATTATTTCCATTTCTTCATTTGTAGACGTGGGTTCGTTTCTACCCTTTGACTGCTACGAATAGTGGTGTCTGAGGGTGTGGGTGTACAAGTTCTACTCCAACCCTTATTTGCAGTGGTTTTGGATATGTGGAATTATTAGATGGTATGGTCATTCTTTTTAATGGTCTGAGGAGACACCACCCCTGCATTTCCACAACAGTTGCACCATTTTATATCTCCACAAGTGGTATGTGGATTCCAGTTTCTCCATACGTTACTCATAAGAAGTGTAAAGAGGCATTTCATTGTGGGTTTTATTTCCATTTCCCTAGCTACAAATTATTTTGAGTATCTTTGTGTGTGTATTAGCCATTTGTATATCTTTGGAGAAATGTCTACTCTAAGTCCTTTGCTTGTTTTGGATTTCATTATGGCATTTTCATACATGTATATAATGTATTTTCATTTATTTACTTATTTTTAAAAGTGTTATTTTATGTGTATGAGTATATTGCTGGCATGTATGTATGTGCACCTGTGTTGTGCAGTGCCTGCGGAGGACAAAAGAGGGCCTAGGATCCCTTGGAACTAGAGTTTTGGACAGTTGTTAGCTGCCATATGGGTGCTGGGATTCAAACCCAGGTCCTCTGCAGAAGCAGCAAGTGTTCTTAATCCCTGAGCCATCTCTATAGCCCCTATATAATGTATTTTGATTATATTCACCCTCTACATTACCCTTTCATCCCACTAGTCCCTTTTTACTTTCATGCATTTGTGTGTGTGTGTGTGTGTGTGTGTGTGTGTATGTGTCCATGTCCCCATCCCAATGAGTTTAATTAGAGCTGCTTTCAGGAGCATGGATAGCTTCCTAATGGCTATACCACTGAAGAAAATATCTATCCATCCTTCAACAACCATTAACTGGCTATAGATCCTAAGGGAGGGGTGGGCCTCATGAACTCCTTCCCATACTGACCAAATATCTTGTGCTTCTGAATGTTGAAAAATGCAATGGCCAACCATGACATGCCCAGAAGACAGTGTTCCAAGCACTCTACCCCATCCTTCATCTTTTACATTCTTTCTGCTCCCTCTTCCTTGATGTTCCCTGAGCCTTCAGTAGTCACTTAGTCTCAGGTTGGACCAGTTATGAGACTCTGCAGTAACTGTTGCCCATTGCACAAAAGAAGTGCTGCCCATTCTTTGACCAAAGCTGACAGCATTAATCTGTGGGCATAGAAATAGTTATTTAGAACAATACTGAGAAAGGATTATCATCAACATCTGGCTGATGAGGGAAAAAAGAGCCTGTGGTCACATCCTGTGGGTGTAGTAGTCACCTTCCATTTAGGAGAAAAGTTGCCCCGACCAGATGTGAGCACCGTAGGCAGAAACTTCATAGGGTGTCTCTTTGGAAGAGGGTTGTCACAGTCTATATCACTTTGTGCCCAGCAGGCCAGTCCCAGGATTCTGAAAAGTAGGGACATATAGCTCACATGGCTGTCACTCAGAAGATGCATCTGGTGTCTTGTATTTGACCAGGGACAGGCACACAAACCCTTCACGGTGATCTTCGACCTCACAGACCCTGGGGCCATTGCTGCTGCAGCAGCTGAGATCCTACAGTGCTTTGGCTACGTGGACATCCTCATCAATAATGCTGGGGTCAGCTACCGTGGCGCCATCAGCGATACCACAGTGGATGTGGACAAGAGGGTGATGGAGATAAACTACTTTGGCCCAGTTGCTTTAACAAAAGGTAGCCATCTTGGGTTAAGAGAAGTAGGCACTAATCATTAGAATGCCTCTTATTTGACTTGGTTTCTTGGCGAGAGATTGCCTGTCACTGTCCAGTGTTTCCCTCTGCAGTGGGTGTGGTCAGTACAGTTTGGGTTTTGCTTGTTGCCTTTTTCAGGCTTTTATTTGCTGTGTATTGGTTTTGCACTCTTATGTCTGTGATATAGCCTCACTGGCACAGCTTTCCATTTCCTTTCCATGCTGCCTGCACCCTGAGGTGGGCAATATTTTGATGCACAGAAAGACTTCATTTCAGGGGCCAGGCTTCCTGTAGACAAGGGTACTATGATGGCTGTTTGTGTTTCCTTTTTTCTTAATTTTTAAAAAAATTATATATATACACATTATATATATATATATTTGTCTTGAGACAGGGTCTCCCTGTAGCCTCAGCTGTCCTGGAACTCACTATGTAGACCAGGCTGGCCTTGAACTCACAGAGATCTGCCTGCCTCTGCCTCCCAAGTGCTGGGACTAAAGGCGTGTGCCACCCTGCCCGGCTATTTTTATATTTTTATTTTATGTGTATGAGCGTTATGCCTGCATGCATGTGTGTAAGTACACCTTTGCTGTGCAGTGCCTGTGGAGGACAGAAGAGGGCATAGGATCTCCTGGAACTGGAGTTATGGAGGGTTGTTAGCTGCCATGTGGGTGCTGGAATTTGAACCCGAGTCTTCTGCAAGAACAGTCAGTGCTGTTTGTGGTCTTCTCTGTTGTCTCTCTCCTGTCCTGTGATTCTCCATGGAGGACTATGGAGTTGCCGCTGGCAGCACCAGGCACAGTGACTGGGAATAACTAACTCCCCATCTTATTCTCTCAGCTCTCCTACCCTCCATGGTCAAGAGGAGGCAAGGCCACATTGTTGCCATCAGCAGCATCCAGGGAAAAATCAGCATTCCTTTTCGGTCAGCATGTAAGTACTAGACCTTCCTTTCCATATATATATTCTTATTCAGGGCTAGAGAGATGGCTCAGCAGTTAAGAGTACTGGTTGCTCTTGCAGGGCACCAAAGTTCAGTTCCTGGCACCCACATGGCAGCTAATAATTGTCCATAATTCCAGTTCCAGGGGATCTGATGCCCTCTTCTGGCCTCTGTGGACATTGCATGACATGGATCAACTACATGCAGGCAAAACTCATACACTTAAAAATAACAAGTTTAAGGTGGGCGTGATGGCGCACGTCTTTAATCCTAGCACTTGGGAGGCAGAGGCAGGCAGATCTTTGTGAGTTCGAGGCCAGCCTGGTCTGTATAGTGACTTCCAGGACAGCTGGGGCTACAGGGAGACACTGTCTCAAAAAGACCAAAAAAAAAAAAACAAAACACAAGTTTAAAAAAATGATGTTTGTTGGCCAGATTCAAATAGATAGAAATACCCTATAGAGAACATGAAGGAGCTTTGTCAGAATGTGTTCTAAGCCTCCACATACTCCTTTTCCCTTATGTGACCTTGGACAGGTGTCCCCCTCCAACCCTGTTTGCACATGGAGACAGCCCAGCCTGGAAGGCTGTTGTGAGGAAGGATTTGCAGTTGCCCTGGACTGAATGAAATCTTCAGCATTTCAGGACATATGCCTCTGAATTTTTTTTTTAACATAATGAAACATATAAGAATGGGATCTCATTTTGAATACTATTTGTGACTAGTTCGGTGTACTTGACAAGCATAGGTTCTTTTAAGTAGATACAGAATAATAAAGTGAATGGCTGTGACATAATTAACTTAGCTATTTTCATGAACACTGGGGAATTTTTCCCTCATCTCACACTTTGATCTTCAGCAGTAACCTGTGACAGAATATTCTTGAGGGGCTGGAGAGATGGCTCAGCAGTTAAGAGCACTGACTGCTCTTGTAGAGGACTCGGGTTTGATTCTGAGCACCCACATGGCAGCGTACAACTGTAACTCCAATGTCAGGGGATCCAACGCCTTCTTCTGACCTCTAAGGACACTGCATGACATTGATGCACTTATACACATGCAAGTAATACACTCATACACATAAAATAAAAATAAAATATTTTAAAATGAATATCCTTGAATAATTATATCTGTAGATATTTGCAGGAGGATTAAATAAGATAAACCCCAAGAAATAGAAATATTAAGTAGGACCAAAGCATTTTGTAAAAATATTTTGTTTTTATTTTATGTGTATGAGTATTTTGCCTCATGTGTGTAAGTGTACCATGTGCATCTGTGCAATGCCCATGGAGGCCAGAAGAGGGCGTCGGATCTCCTGGAACTGGAGTTAGGAATGGTTGTTACGTGCCATGTGGGTGAATTTATTTGAGCTTATGGTTCCAGAGGGAGAGTTCATAATGGGGGAGGAGGGCATGGTAGGGAAGCATCTAGAGCAGAAAGCTGAGAGCTTATATCTTCAAGCACTTACAGGAAGCAGAGAGAGCTAACTGGAAGTGGGCCAAGGATATGAACTCTCCAAGCCCTAGTGATGTGCTTCCTTCAGCATGACCATACCTCCTAAAGATTCAATGATTGTCCCCCAAACAGCGCCACCAACTGGGGACCATGTGCTAAGTGTTCAAATATTTGAGACTCTGAGGGACATTTCTTATTCAGACCATCACACTCAAGTTCCTCCATTTGGAAGCTGTCAAAAGTGCATGAACCAGGCCTGAGTTTACACAGCCCTGCAAGCAGGGAGGCTCTCTGGGACCATGCTCAGCAGAGATAAAGACTGGAAACAATTTGCAAAGACTTCTTTAGGGTCCATTTCTGTCATCGTGGGACCCTTCTAGGAGGACTAGATAGATCCATTCCTGAACCATCTGAGGAAGCTGAAGGCATGGAGGAGCTTTATTCCTAGTACTCTGTTTCCTAAGAACAAGGACACAGTACAGTTGTCAGAATCAGGAAGTGAACATTGCTATAATGTAATCTTAAATGCTAAGCCCATGCCAATACCCTCACCGCCTCTGTCCACATCTGCAGATGCAGCCTCCAAGCATGCAACCCAGGCATTCTTTGACTGTTTGCGTGCCGAGATGGAGCAGGATAGGATCAAGGTGACTGTGATCAGTCCTGGCTATATCTATACCAACCTCTCTGTAAATGCTGTCACTGCTGATGGCTCCAGATATGGAGGTGAGGTCTAATCTGTTTTCTCCTTTGTGAAAGGCTATGATTAGCCATAGTGCAACATGCTGCTCTTACCTAAATGGTTTCTGGGTCTGAGTGTTGGCTGCAGATAATGAGCTTCTGTGTAACCATCATTTCCCTGCCAAAACCTACCTCAGCCTTAGCATTACCACTGCAATGTTCAGGACCCCTATAGGTAGAGGACTGTGGGACAGAGAATCCCTCAACTGAAATGCCACCAAACTTCCCACTAGCTCATTATTAGACCCCAAGGCCCAAGGGACATTATCACAATTAAGACCAAGTAAATTAACTTCATGGCTAATGGGAGTTAGGAGGGAAGGAGGCAGAGCTGGACCTGACTGGCTCCTACACAGGGTGCTGGAGAAATGACTCTTTAGGACCAGTCTTTGGGATGAGGCTGGGTGGGTACAGCAGTGTCAGAATCTCTGTCTTGCTTTAGTCAGAGGTATTGTTATGGGCTGACCAGCCTAGCCCAGCATGCACATGGAGGGCCAGGCAAAAAGCAGTTTACTTCTATCATGGACCAGAGTCAGCTCTTAGAGCCAGCTTTGCCTTCCTGAGTTCACAGCAGGCCTGCTATCCATCTGTCCAGCAGACTGCCTACTAAGCCCTACCTCCCAGGATGTATTCTCCTGTGGGTCTGTGCTTCTGCCATTGCCAGGGCCTACAGGTCCTGCACTCATCTCACCAGACCTGAATCAAGACTGCCCTATCTTGGGTGGCTGCTTTGCCACAGCAGTCTCTCCACAGAAAGCTACAGTGGAAGGAGCCAGAAAGCTGTATACCTGTCCATTCCAGGAAATTCAGCTTAAACATGTCTCTTTCTGCAGCAATTAGAAACTTCCTGTTCTAAACACAGAGCGAGGACAGACACTGCTATGGGGCTCAGGTTTTGGGTGGTATGTACTAGTGGCTTCTCTTCTGTGCCTGCTGGCTTGTTCTACTTTGTTGGCAAGATGGTTGAGCCACTAGCAAAGAAGGAACTTCGGATGCTGTTACAGTACACTCCCCAAACTTTCCCAGCTACTTTAGATTCTGCATGCCATTGGGAGCTGGGATATCTGTCTACTTCTGACTTAGTGCTCACAGGGACACATGGTGTCAGATAGTCTTTGCTATCTTTCTCTGACAGCCCTGGAGCTGAACCAGTCAACTATAGTAGATAGTATACCAACCCCTAGTCACAGGTTGTTGCCCAGATGCATAAAGAAGCTTCTTGGGCTCAGCAAGTAAAGGCACTCGCCACCAAGCCTGACAACCTGAATTCAATCCCCAGGATCCATATGGTAGAAGGAGAAAACCAACTCTTACAAGTTATGCTCTCACCTCCACGTGTGCCATGGCATATTGCTTACGTGCACATATTCATACACACAAGCACACACAATAATAAAAATAAGAAAAAAAGCTCTTCAAATGTGGTATGGGACTCACTGTGAGATCTGCTTGCACTGACCTTTGGTGTTCACCACAGACCACCAAACAGCTGGACTCACTTTGGTTCCAAACATTGTAACTGGCACCCCATCCATCTTGCATCTTCATCCTCATTGTAGAATTGTCCACTTTGGCCAGGTGTGGTGGTGCACACCTTTAATCTCAGCATTCAGGAGGCAGAGTCAGATGGATCTCTGTGAGTTCAAAGCCAGCCTGGTCTACCTAGTGAGTTCCAGGCCAGCTGGGGCTACAGGGAGGCCTTGTCTCAAAAAGACCAAAGAAAGAATTGTCCACTTTGGGGAGAGCTCCCTGGTGGGACTCTGGGAAGCTGGCCTTCATGGCTCCTGGTTTATCCTTGTTCATTTTGTTTGCTGTAGCTATGGACAAGAACACAGCCCAGGGCCGAAGCCCTGTTGAAGTGGCCCAGGATGTCCTTGCTGCTGTGGGGAACAAGAAGAAAGATGTGATCCTGGCTGACTTCCTGCCATCCATGGCCACTTACCTCCGAATTCTGGCTCCTGGGCTCTTCTTCAGAGTCATGGCCTCTAAGGCCAGAAAGGAGCGAAAATCTAAGAACTCCTGATGTGAGTCAGAGTTGGTAGCTCCAGTCAGCCTTATCAGGCCAGGATTGCTCTACAAGGGACCTTGCATTAGCTGAGACCTGGTGGAGGCCTGTCTTTGCCTCACAGGTGGGAAGGAACTTCTGCTGTAGAGAACTGGGACCAAATTAGCAGCAGGCTGTCCACAGGGGTGACGGTAAGCCATTAAGGAATATGGAGCTGGTCTGGAACTCAGAAACATGGAATAAATGTCTGGAACAGCATGCATCAAGACTCCTCACTAGAACACATCCTTTGAACCCTAGACCTGCTGGCTTCTAGAAGTAGTATTAAGTTTTGACATGAGATGTCATAATAGCACTGGCCCCAAATCAGTTCTTATGTTTGACTTATCCCAGACCACTGACCTAGTTCTTAGGGAAGAGAGAATACCTCTAATCCTGAGGGAGAAGGCTGTCATCTTAGGATAGTTCCAGGGCCCTGCAGCAGCTCACTATATAGGGAAGATGGGCAGGTATGTGATAGGTTAGTTGGCACATCCAACGTAATGCCACTTTAGCACCAGGAAAAAATCTCCCCATGGTTCTGTTGACTTTCATCATACTTCTGTAGGGTACCAGGTACCATTCCAAGGAGATGAATCTGTTAAAGAACAGCCAAAAAGGAGAGGTCCTCCTTGGCTCTGAGTGTGCCCTCATATACTGACTGGCCATGGGGCCGCTCCTTGTGTCCTGATGGGAGGAGTTCCTTGGCGGGGTGAGGGGATGGACACAACTAGTTAAGGTGAAGCTAGAAAGAACATTTCATCTTTGACTTATTAAGAAGCCATGAAAGGTTTGTTGAGTGGGTCAATTTTATTTCTCAAGTTTAGAAATAACTTTTCCTGTTATTGAAACCGAAAGCTGAAGCCATAGGAGGTCCGCTGAAGATTTCCCCAAATTGGAATAAAAAACCCTTATAAATAAACCTACCATCTTCACTGTGTTCCAACTCTGGCCCTGCTGAACTGCTTTTAAAGTTTTCTTGCAGATGTGTATTGAGCATGTCCCACACTGTTCTCCTGCCCTCCCATTAGTCTTCTTTGTTCCCTTAGACAATTTCACTTCTACTTTAATATATACATGCAGGATTTTGTGTGACTATATAGAATTTAGGAACCACAAATTAACAAAAATATACTTGTCTGTAGACTTGTCTCTATTAGACTGGCTTAATTCACTTGTTTCCTGTTGTAGTCATTTTTCTGCAAATGACAAAACTTTTTTTTTTTTTTGGTCTTTTTGAGACAGGGTCTCCCTACAGCCCTACCTGGCCTGGAACTCACTATGTAGACCAGGCTGGCCTTGAACTCACAGAGCTCTGCCTGCCTCTGCCTCTCAAGTGCTGGGGCTACAGGCGTGTGCCACCACGTCTGGCTTTTTTTTTGGGGGGGGGTGTCCCCTGTAGCCCCAGCTGGCCTGGAACTCACTATGTAGATCACAGAGATCCACCTGCCTCTGCCTCCTGAGTGCTGGGATTAAAGATATATGCCCGGTTAACTTCATTCTTCTTTTTGAGACAGGGTCTCCCTGTAGCCCCAGCTGGTCTGGAACTCACTACAGACCAGGTTGGCCATGAACTCACAGAGATCCACTTGCCTCTGCCCCCCAGTGCTAGAATTAAAGGCATGCGCTACCACACCTGACCTATTTCTAGTTTTTTTTTTTTTTTTTTTGAGGAACTTCTGCACTGACCTCCATAGAGGTTGGACTAGTTCAGAGTCTCACTAGCAGTGCTCCCTTTTGTCCACATCTGTACCAGCATTTGTTTACTATCTTAATGACTGCTTTTCTGACTGGAGTAAAATGATATCTCAAAGTAGTTAGTTTTGATTTGCATTTCTCTGATGGCTCATGAGGTGGACATCTTTTCATGTCCTTGCTATTTGTATTCATTATCCCATTTTATCGATTGGGCTCCTTATATTCTTGTTCATTTTTTGAGTTCTTTGTATATTCTACATATTATTCCTGTCAGATGTATAGCTGGCTAAGATTTCCTCTGGTTCCACTGAACTGCTTCCTTTACTGTATGGAAGCTTTTTAGTTTCTTGAGGTCCTATTTGTTAACTGTTCTTCCTGACAAGAGGTCCTGCATCTATGTTGGAAGTGTTTTCCCCACATTTTCCTCCTAAGTTTTAGTTTCACTTTTTACATGAAGGTCTTTGATCTATTTGGAGCTTGTTTTGGTGTGGGGCGAGATAAAGATCCAATTTCATTCTTGTCCATGTGGATGTCCAAGGTTCCCAGTACCACAGAACTTGAAATCATTTATGGTGGTAACCTCTGGCATTATTCAGGGTTGCTTTGGCTATCTGGGGTCTTTTGTGCTTCCAAATGAATATTAAGGTTGGTTTTTCTTAACTTTCCTTTTCCTTTTTTTAAAGAATGGCATTGGAATTTTGATGCAATTGCATTAAATCTGTAGATTGTTTTTGGTATGGTAGCCCATTTCCTTCTTTCAGTCCTTCCTCCTCCCTTCTTCCCTCATAGACTGTTTCTCAATCTGGCCTCAAGCTCATCAAGTAGCCAAGGATGACCCTAAACTTCTGATCTTCCCATTTCTACCTCTCAAGTGCTGGGATTACATGCATGTGCCACCACACCCAGTTTGTGGAATGATGGATCTCCAACTTAGGGCTTCATGTGTGAACTGAGCTATACCCCCAGCCTAAGCCCAAGCTAGCCATTTTCACAATATTAATTCTTCCAATCTGTTAACATGGGAAATCTTTCCATTTTCTAGTGTTTGATTTTTCTTGGAAGCTTTAAAGTTTTCATTGTAGAGGTCTTTTGCTTCCTTGTTTTGCTTTAGTTTATTATTAATGGGGTTGCTTCCTTGATTTCTTACAGTCTTTAGAATCTCACCTATAATCTACAAATACGATTTTAACTTCTTCCTTTCCTGTTTCTCTTTTATTTGCTTCTCTGGTCTTATTGTTGAACTCTGCTCTTAACCATTTGACCCTGATGGATGATTAAAAGTGGCCACAGATAGCCTAGGGTCAGACTGTTAGATCGTCAAGGCTTTCAAGCTCCCTGGGAGAAGGCAGGTAAGAAAGTGATCAGACCTGGTGACTCATCTTGGCTCACAGCTCATCATGGATGGCCCAAGAGCTATGGGTGAAATGTGGATACAGACATCAAGGATGGCTTCCATCTACTCTCCTGACAGGGAGAAGAAAGTACTTCTTAGTATTCACAATACATCTTGGGGCCAGGGAAGAACTGGTACTCATCAGCAACCATACCGGGGCTAGTTCCAAGTGGCATAAAACTACAGCGCACCTAGCAGGTTCCCAGTGAACAAGGACAGTCTCTTACATGGAAATGAGAACACCCCTTTTCTGACACTTGTTGGCTGGCACTTTGAGAGGGGCCATGTCCAACTCCTATCCTTTCCATTAAATAAAATGGCCAGCCATAACAACAACATAACCATCAGAGGACAAATACCCAAACTTCTTGAGGTGGTTGGTTTGGCTGACACTGGAAGGCAGCTTGAAGTCACCAACCCTACATATACCTGGATACTCTAGGTATGTCCTAAGCCTGGGATTAAAGGCATGTGCTACCACACCCGGCTCAATGGTGGTTTCTTAACACTTAAAAACCTTGCTTCCCTTGGGGCTGAAGAGCTGGCTCAACAGTTAACACTGGTTGTTCTTGCAGAAGACCAGAGTTCGAATCCTAGCACCCACATGGCAGCTAACTGTCCTAACTCCAGTTCCAGGGGATCAGACAGCCTCTTCTGACCTCCTTGGGCACTGCATGACACAGGTATGCCTACCTACATGCAGGCAATACATGCATACACATAAAATATTAAAAAAGAAAAAAAAAAAATCTTGCTTCCCACACTTGATGCCTGATCAACAAGGTTCTGTAATGGGCAGCTGCTCCCAGTCCTTGGATCTAGGCCTTGCTTCCTGTTTCCCCTGTACCCAGGGAACTACATGCAGAAGGCCAGGTAAACTTTACCTTGTTCTTGGAGTTTTCAACTCAGTATCTGATGTTACAGTTGCCACCCAGGGTAGTGGTGCTGTTGCCTGATTTCTGTCTTCTGCAAGTTTTTTACCTTTCATCCTCAAATTCTGTTGGGAAGTCTCCAAAGCATGAGTTTTAATTGGTTCTACCTTCAGACATGTGATAGAAGTTCAGTTTCCACTCTGCTCTCGGTGCTTCTTGCTCCAACAACAGGGCAAGAGGCAGGGTGAGCTCAAGGCCCTGATGAGACAGAGTAGCGAAACCTGATGAATAAGCAAGCTTAGACACAAAGGGAAGGAGCTCCCCCTGATCTGCCAGTCCATATTTCTGGTTAACTGACTCTTTATAGATCTCTTTGCTCCTTCTGAAAAGTGGATGGGCAGTTAAGACTATACTGACTTGCCAGATCACTTCCATGCCCTAAAATGGCCATGTAGAACTCCCTCTGGTTGATTTCTGACAGGAGGGCCCAGAAAATGTCTTTTCCTTCTCAATAGGAGAAAGCTGCCATGTATTGTGTCCTGTCACCAGAATGGGAAGGAGGCATATGAACTTTCCTCCCACAGCCCAGACCAGGTACACCCACCCCTGCGCCCTGCTGTCCAGTGGTAAGAGGGCTTACCCTGGCTAGGGGCCAAATTACCAGGATGGCATTTCAGAATCTGGGTTAGTCTAATGCAACAACAGTCACTGTTCAGTGCAGCTTGGGAAATAAAGAGGAAGGAGCTGTTTGCACCTGGTTTCTATTTTGGGCAAGGACATCTGCTCAGCTGAAATGAGGTCCCTGGCTCATGGACACCTCCCCCATACAATTTGATATACAGAAAGAACATGGCCAAACCAGGTGCCTGCTTGTTACAAAAACCCCTCCTATGCTACCTGTCTAGTGAGCTCAGAGCTAGCCTCAGCCTCCTATGGGTACCAGATTTCAACTTACCCTGCAGGGGCGTGTTCACCAGGGACTGCTTTAGTTAAGGCAGTTACCTCTTTGCCATCCCCTGACCCCCACAACACTGCCATATCAACAATACTATGTGTCTAACACCATCCTTGCCACTAAGGACTCAAACTGACCCATCAGTATTTTCTATAGTACCTGAAATTATGTCAATTCCCTGAAGCCTGCTTTCCTTAGCAACCAGGTTAGGCACCCTCTCCTAAAGTTGGGCAGGCATCAGATCTTCCTAATGTGGAAGACCACCCTGTAGAAGTGCCATATGCATCTCCAGGGGTGACTGGGGGAACGTGTGCCCCAGCCTTTGTGGAGGGGATCATTTCCTACTTACTCAAAGCCCCAGAAAAGAAGCACAAGACTCATTACTCCAGGCAGGAGCATTTCTCACAGACTAGGCTGTGGGTTGAGCTGTCTACATCAGGAACCGCAGATATGCTGGTTTCTGTGATTTCCTAAAATAGTGTCTTTGAAGAGGGTTCCTGAGCCTGAGGTCCCTAAGTAAACAAAAAGGAGACCCCCTGGCCTCCAGGCCATCTTATCCCACCATCAGTACATCAGCACTGCTGGCCCTGGAACATTAGAAGGCCATATGCCAGGGCAGGTGGGTAGTCCTATCATGTTGTGCAGATCTTTCTGTGAAGGATGTCAGATCTAGGCTTGTCCTTGCTACAAGTGGTGAGGCTTGATTGCAGTGAGGAGCAGGGTGTATCTGAAGCATTTGCATGTTCCACATGCAGCAGCAGCCGCAGGCACAGGTAGAGAGAAAAAACAGCAGGAGTTGAAATTCTCATAATTTTAATGGTCAATCGTTTCTGGTTGGCTTCTGAATGGTATAGTTAAACAATATATTTAGAGACACCCTCCCCCCAAGCATGTTCACAACCCCCTCAGGAAGTAGCACTGGCTTCCATCCACATTCCATTGCCCAGCCTGACTTCCACAGCCTAGGATCCACTCCTGGGTTATGGAAATAGATGTCTTAGTACTGTAATGAGCTGAATAAACCCCTGGTATACCCATGATCTGTTATTTTTAAAAAATAACAAGTATTAACCAAACACCATCCTAGGCACTGCTGCCTCACAGAGCAAGCCCAAAGTGTTGCTGGAGCAATCTGAGTCCTCTGTCCTGTGGGCCATGTGATTCTGCTCCATGTCCCACTCTCCTGCAGTCATACGGCATAGAGCTCATAAACCTTCTTTACACAGTACACCAGGGCAGCCAGTGCTATTGTGTTGTGCAGTCTCTTTCTGTGCAGGTCGTCCTTCCGGACCAGCACCACTGGTGTGGAGGAGGTGAGCGTGTGCAGAGGCAGGCGGGACAGTTTATAGGCATCATACTCCACCTGGTACTTGCAGCAAGGGTCAAACTGCCAGGAGATCCCGTAGAGGGTGCAGCAGGCCAGGCTCAGCACACCGGCAGGCAGGGAGATGTAGTGGGAGTAATCCAGGGGCAGTGCCAATGGGGTGAAGAGGCAAGCAGTGCCTGCCAGCACAGCCGTCTTGTGCAGGCAGTTGCCCACAGTGATCCAACGTGCTGTCTCATCTCCAATGCGGGTAGGCTCAATCACAATGTACTTGTACTGGGCTTCAAGCGCCTGTTCCAGCTCATACTCAAACTGGTCTTGGGCATTCTCCCCACTGTAGATCTCATGCACTATGTAGCAGTCTGTGGCCGACAGGCTTACCCTTTAGTGGAGGGAAAGAGACAAGGTTAGGCTGAGCAGCATAGTTTGGGTGCATGGGAGTTGGATAGGTGGTGGGCCTCAGCCTCAAGCAAATCTCACAGGTTCATTGGCTTCAGAACTCAACCCACAAGATCCTCAGAGAGTTTCTTCTGAAATAGTGCAATGAAAAGGATGTAGGAAAAGTAGTGCCTACTGTCTAAGATAGGCTGCTGTGCTGTTGGGCTGGTGGCGAGCCTCCTGCAAGGTACCTCAGCAGACCTGAAGCCAATGAAGCCAAAGGGGTCTCAGCCAAGAGCACCATGGAGGTGAGGTCACAGCACAAGGTCAGCATGTAGTACTATTCTTTGTTCCTCAGAGAACTTGCAGGAGGCTCTCCAGAGGAAACCCAAAACCTCGGAACACGTATGCTGAACATCCTGCCTTTGCCTCACATCAAAACTAGTTACCTGTAGCCTGTAGAACAAAAGAACAACTCTGCCTTGGGTGCCTGAAAACCAGACTCCTTTGGTCCCCAAATGATAGGCTACTGCGCAGCCCACCAGCCCTGCCTCATCTCTACAGCAAGAAGAGACCAGGAAACACAGAAGGCTGGAAGCAAAGGCATCCCTCTATGAACTGGAACAGATGCCTCAGAACTTTAGTGGGCAGAAAGATCATCTGCAGGGCTTCTCAAATATGCTGCCCAGATACCACTCACTTAACCCTGCAGGACCAAAAGGCTGTCATACTGAGGGGATGGCTAGTTAAACTAAGGACACTGTTACTGTTCACAGGGACACCTGACTTTCTCCTAGCCCTGGGACTGGATTACAGGACCAGGTAGCAAAGAATCAGAGCCTTGTAGAAAACCTCAGCTTTGTATCAAGTCCAGAAGACAGCCTGGACTCATTTGGTGACCATGGCTGAGGGGACACATCAGGCAGTTTGGGAACTCCCACTGGAGTTGTCTCTTGGACAGACCTCTCTCTCAAAGCAGAGTCTTCTCCCACTGTCCTGGACAAAACTAAACACAGGGCTGCACATTCCTTGCTCTGTTTAAGATTGTATTGTTGTGACAGAATACCTGAGAGAAACAGTTTAAAGGAAGGGAGCTATATTCACAATTACAGAGGTTTCAGCTGTGGTGTTCTGATTCCATGTTTCTAGGTCTGTGGTAGAAGGAATGTGACTGACAGGAAATGAGCTCCAGTGGCCAGCAGCAAACAGCCCTGTACCCAGAGAAAAAGCATGGATACTTGGCCTGTCTTGGGTGGACATACACACCCAAACAACCATGAGAAGCCATGGGGAGTTGGGCACACAGCTTACTCATCAGTGACTGTAACTGGTAGTGACAAGAGCAACCCCAGAACCTCTACGTCAACACAGTGTGATCCTAGTCCTGCTTCAAAGGTGGATGAAATGACATGGGGAGTGTTAGGAATTGGACCACTGGAGCAAACTTAAAGAAAGTGACCAGCACCAAAGAGCCCACCTGATACACTAGATTCTTTCCTGTCACTACTGGGTAGGTTTTGGTACTTAATCTCATACAATATATTTTGATCATATTTATTTTCCTGCCCTCTTACAAGCCCCCCCCCCCCACTGGAATTCATGTACTCGGTCATAACTAAGACCAACTCTTAGTAAACAAAAAGCAATCCTCAAATCCTCAGACTGGGTTTCACTCTGGTTAAATGACTACTGGTCTTAAGAAGGTGTTTCAAAAATCTTCCAAGTGCAGAGAGAGGGACCCCATGCCCAGACCAGCACACCTTCAAAAAAATGCACTGGCTTGGGATTCAGGCAATGTGAATGTTTTACCCTGAAACAGTAACTGTAATTAAGCTGGGCTCAGCTGAGGCCTAATTAAATCACAGGCCCCAAGTCAACTATGCACTAGAGAGAAAGTTGTTCCCTAGGGTATGACCAGAATCCTTAGCATGGGGAATGAAGGTGGCTAAGGCAGAGCTTGCCTAGCTTGTACAGGGACACTGCGTTGATCCTCAGCACCACATAGCATGGGACATGGCCAAAGCAGACTGCAAAATGGCATGCCAGTGGTCAGGAATGCTGAGGACCCATCCTGTCCTCTGGAAGCTGACAAATCCAATAGAAAGGAGGACTTTTTCCAATGAGGCCTCCAAGTGACTGCAGTTGCTTCTCCCCAACAGGATCCATCATCTTAAGACACCTTCAGCCAATAAGTAATCCCGAGACAGGGTCACTCTAGATGCAAGAGGAATGGCTTGAGTAATTCCCTTGTATCACAAGATTCAACATCAGTGCTGAGCCCAGGTGTGGGGACACAGGCCAGAAATACCAGCAACTCAGGAAGCTGAGGCATGAGAATTGTGAGTTCCAGGCCAGCCTGGACTACACAGGGAGACCATGTCTCAAAAACAAGTCAGTAATAACTGGTGACAGTCCCTCAGTGGTACAGAAGGGTAAGGGACTCTACCCCCAAGAGGGAACACTCATAGTCAAGAGATTTTCTTTGTGATCTCATGCCATCAGCCAGTAAAAGCCAAGTGGCCAGGGCACAAGGGTTGTGAGGTGCCAAATCCTATACCCACAGCTGAGACTAGATGGAGCCATTTCCAAATCATCACAAGTTCTGCCAACTTTCAAAGTGAGCCCAGGGATACCTCCAAGTAAGCACTCTTCCCTGTGGAATACTCAAAGGAAAATGTGGAGTAAAACTGGAGTTGCAATGACCTTACAATATTAGCCAACTGAAGTGCTGTGGCCTCTACCCTGCAGGCTTGGGGCCATCCTGAACACAGGGAAAACAGTTTGTCCCAGTAAGGAACATCCAGGTCAGCCAGCGCCTGCACCAGACTACTCCATCTTGAAAACTTACCAGTGGGCAGATGCCTTCTCTCTTGATCCCTGGCCAGCCCCGCCCCCTGCAAGACAGGCATGAAGATAAGGCTAGTGCCTACCATTTGTCAAGACAGATGAGTAGACTTGTTCATGATTATGAACATGTCTAGAAATGGGAGCCAGTGCTCCAAGCTCCTGCCTTGCTGTTGCTGCCAGGTGTTGCAGCCCTCACAAGAAGAAAGTGACAATGAGCAGACACTGAGCCAGAGAACTCTGGGTCAGTGGGGTTATGACCCCCACAGGGGGCCTGAGCATCCTCTGTTCTTGATGCAGGCAGTTTTGTGACCACCACAGCTTATAGCAGGTGTAGACACAGGTGTGCCCAGTCAATCCTCATATACCCAGAGTTGGCTCTGCTTTTTTGTTTGAGATAAGGGCTCACTATGTCATCCTGGCTGGTCTGGAACTCACTATGTAGACCAGGCTGTCCTCAGTCTCACAAAGATCCACCTGCTGGGATTAAAGGCCTGTGCCACCATGCCCAGACCCAGAGTTGGTTCTATAGACAAGCTTACCACTGCCTGCTAAGCACACCTCAGCTGTCTGGAGCCCCAGTATCTTATTGTGAGCAGCTCAGCCCATTCCCATCCACAACAGGCTTGGCCCAACTACAAAGCATGGAAACAAAAGCAAAGTCAAAAAAGACACAGGGCAGTCTCTAAAGTCTTCAAACAGGCAGCCCACACACCTGTGGGTGGGTACACCAGGGACACCAATTCTGTAGAGACAGCCAGTTAAGGAAAAACAGTCCTGGGTTTCCTATGGGATGATGGAATCTTAAGAGTATTTCCAGGAAGAAAATGGTAATGCTAAACCCAAACAGACATGAAGCATAAGTACCCCTCTGCTGGGCATCCTGGACCAGACAAAGCAGCTAGCACCCCACTGTTATGCACTGGCAGGAGTGGGTTGGTTCTGTATGCCATGGCACACATGGTTTTGAAACGCAGGTCTGTATTGTTGATAAGGACTCTGGGCTCATCTGCTTCCTGAGTAAGCTCCCAGGAGAGTGCCAAGTCCAGTCACCTCTTAACCACTCCAGCATGAGTGGCTGGCTTCCACTTCTGGGTCAAACGTAACTTGGCCAAGAGCCCAGGCGATGAAAGAAAAGCTTGGTTTCCATACTGATGGGAAGGGGAGATGGCTCAGTGGTTAAGAGCACTGGCTGCTCTGGCAGAGGATACGGGTTCAGTTCCTAGCACCCACATAGCTGCTAACAATTGTCTATAACTCTGGGGATCGACACTTTCTTCTGACTTGCACTGCATGACATAGGTGCACTTATATACATGTAGACAATACACTCATACACAATAAAATAAAAATACATAAAATGTTTTTTAAAAGTATCTTCTATGGGGCTGGAGATGGCTCAGCAGTTAAGAGCACCGACTGCTCTTGCAGAGGACCCGGGTTCAATTCTCAGCACCCACATGGTGGCTACGAACCGTTCTTAACTCCAGTTCGTCATCTGTAACTCCAGTTCCAGGGTATCTGATACCCTCTTCTGACCTCCATGGGCATTTCAGGACACAGGTGTTTTTATATGCATGCAGGCCTATACACTCATACACATAAAATAAAAATAATAATAAAATATTTTTTAAAAAAGTATCTTCTAGGAGACAAGATCTGAGAATAGGACTGTCATTAGGGAGGGAACTGGGTGGCTCAGGAAGGAAAAGAGGAGTCCGTTCTTAGTATATGGCTTTTGTTTCTATACCTAGCACTATCTCTGGTACTTATGAACAGAGGTCACTGTCCTAACCCAGCACTGGGGAGAGGGGATCCCTCTACCCTGAGCCTTCAGCAGAGTAGGTGCCAATCTTGTTCCAGCACTTCAGGTCATGAGCCTGCTTCCCTCTACCTGTAACCAGCCTTGGCATACCCAGGTTCAATCAACTTGGGGGGTGGAGGACAGGTGGCAAAGGAATCCCTTGGAAATGCTGGCACTGCAGTCCAAAGGAGGCCATAAAGAAAATTCTAAAGTTCACACTGTCTCCTCTGGAGTGTGGGTAACCTGAGACTGCTGTCTGGCAATTGCCCAGAGGGCTCTGCAGTCCCTGCCTCACTGTATAAGGCCAAAACTCTAATGTTGGTCTTCCCAAAGTCTGGAGTCATCTCAAAAGTCAA